TGCCTGGAGCTTTGACATCTCATAACTGAGCTACGTCAGAGTCCAAAGTGAGAATATACCAAAAAGCTCTGCATGATACCATAATAATGGACACCTGTCATCGCACATTTGTTCAAATCCATGGAACGCACAACACCAGGAGTAAACCCCAATGTAAACTGTGCACTCCGAGTAATAGTGATGTGTGGCATAGCTTCTTCAGTTGTAACAAACGTACCACACTGGTGGGTTTGTTAATAATGGCGAGGCGATACCTGTGTGGGGGCAGGGCTCTGTGGGAAATCTGTACTTTCCATTCAATTTTGCCGTGAACCGTAAAATTTCTCTAAAAAATTAAAATCTTAAAAAAAAAAAGAATATACAGGGCCACTGTTGTGACAAAAGTGGACTTTGACGGCCTCAGCCTGAGCCCTTACTTCCTCTTTGTTACTCAGTTTCTCTTTTAAAAACAGAGGCCTAGAAGAGGTTGTTTAGTTGGAAAAAATTCTCAGCTTCTTCGAAATGATCCCGTTATGTAAATTGAAACCTAATTTGAGCTAATATGATCTAAGATCCCGTGGGAGGGGTCCCCTCCTAGATGGAGAGATGAGGGAGCTCCTTATTTGGACCTTGCTGTGTTCACAATGTTTGGGGACAAGGATTCACAGGCACCTCTTTCCTCCTAGACAGAGGCTCCTAAGGTAGGATTCTGGCGAGGTTCAGCTGACATTTTCTGTTGCAGCAAGCTCAGGGTTCATGGCTTTCACGTATCGACTGCAAGATCCTCTGAGTCTTCTTGGGAACAGAGTAATGGAGGGAACTGCCATTTCTTGAGCTTCTAGAATACACCAGGTGCTGCCGCAGCACTTCCTGTGTGTTATCCGAGAGGTATGGACAGCATCACCGTTACCCGAGCTTCTCAAACCGTCTCTGGGGAAACACCACATCTGTTTTTTGGCTTGGTTTTTATTTTTCCTTTTTCTTTCCCCATGTTGTCACAGACCTATATTTCTATTTTTGATCCATACCCTGTTCAATGTGATGAGCCCAAGGATCACACGCTTGGGTGTTACAGCAACATTAAATTGCTAAAAACATTTCTAAACACTTACTCTTCGTCTTTTTACTTCCCTCATCAAGAGCTGCACGGTTCTTGCATCAGCACCAGACTGTGCAGCACACTTCTTTGAGCAGCCAGTTGTGCCCAATCACCAGAGAAAGTAAACCACCTGTCTAAGGGCATGCAGCCATAAAAGCTGCAGTGAAATCGATTTCACTGCAGGTCAGGATAACTCCAGCACCTGTGGTTCACCTATAGACACTGCAGAAAAGCCTGGAAAGTAATTATGCCACAGCGACTAGATTTCAAATAAATTATGGTGGAAAGAGAATGGGAGGAAGAATGACCTCTCACTTCCCTGAATTCTACTCTCCCAATTCTTTTCACACGAATCAGGTCCATTACCCTCCACCCCTGCAGGGAGGACCAGGAGTCTTGGTGACCATCCTCACCTTTTCTTCCCATCCTATTCCCCACTGCAGCCGCCCCTTCTTCACCCCTTCCCCACAACTCCCTTATAGAGAGCGCAGAATTCAAGGCGGTGGTGGGAGGAGGGGCATCAGAACATTGAAATAAATTATAGTGTCCAAAGAGCCCTCAGGAATCCAAACACAGCAAAATTATTATGTTTAATGTAAAAATTGAACTTAAAATAATTCTGCTCTGTGTTTAATAACAACAGGTATGGCTAAACTAAGCCAAGTCAGCTACGTCCTCTCAGCCAGGCAGCCTGGCTTCTCTTAGCAAAAGATAAAGCAAATGAGAGCTCTTGAAGGTTAATAGAATCTATCACCTCCTAAAGAATGCAAACTGTATAAATATTCAGGTTTTAAAATAAAATCCCCCAAAGCCAGCATTGCAAAATGAGCTCAGCTTAGTCTGGCAGGGCCTGTTGGCTTGTCTTCCGTGCCGTGTGGCCGTGTGTCTTGTGACCAGAACATCCATGACATATAGACGCAGTCTTTGCCTCTAGACTGTATATTGAATCTGTGAAAGCAGAACTCCCATAGTTCAAGTTTATAGAAATACGTGACAATGTTTGAAGTAGCTTGGCTGAGACTAAAACAGTCTGACATCACAGCCTTGGGGAAGATGATGGAAATTTCTTAATTTCTTTGGAAAATTAAAAAAAAACAAATTCTTTTCAGGTGTTCAATTGGCCACCCAAGCACAACTCTCGGGCTGCTATTCTTTTCTGGTTTTAGAAAATCACACAGAAACAGACAGACTCTGCTTAAGATGTCAGCCACGTCCTATAATTCAGGGTATCAGACTCTGTGGGTTATTTTCCATTTGTCCCCCACCCCATGATTCATTGTCTATCCTTCTCTACTTTAGTCTGTGCCCCAGGAGACTGACCCCAATGGACTGTGTTACCTGGGCTCCCCTCACCTCTGACTCCACCTGGATTTGGCCAACAGGAACCGCCAGCTGGAGACTGGGTGGCAGGAGGAGAGAGAGGTGAGGTATTCTTCCCCACAGGTGCATCGTTTTCCATGCTTCCAGTTCTCACCAGGCTCTCCCACACAAGTCTCTCACACTGTCCCCTTCGGGCCAAGGTAAAAGATAACACTTTCCCACTGTCACTGGCCCCTGGGTGACTCACCTTTTCATTCCCTTAATCCTTAATCCCATCTGTTTGCTATTGGACCCTGGATGATATGCAGACCTGCCCCATAGCCTTAAGCTCCTGGTCAAGAACTTCTGCGTCCTCATCTTACTTTGGGCATCATAATACTATCTTGACTGTGTGGAGGATAAATGAGGTAAACTCACATTGTTAAGAACAAAAGAAAAGATAGTTTCTTTCCATCTTCTGAGCATTTTTTTTTGCATATTGCTTTATTATTTTTTGCACAGTGCTCTATTATTCTTTGCATATTGCTAGTGTTCTTTGCAAATTGCTGTATTACTTTTTTCTTTTTCCTATTTCTGGACTAATTTATCTTTAATCATCATCATCTCACTTGTTTCTCATTGCAAGGTCCAATATTTACAATCTATATTTCATATGTTCAAAGTCATGCATATATGCATAATCTGTAACTGTTTCTTGAGTTTCTATTGCCACTAGTTTGGGGCATTTGAGCAGATTTTTCAGTTGTAGGGAGACTCTCTTGGGGAAATGCTCAGTCTTTCAGGGTTTCCCTGCCCATCTCCTCATAGCCAACCTCATCCCTCTCATCTGGTCAAGTTAGTCTATGATGATGACAGGAAGTTTCTGTGTCTTCGTGGCAATGCGTCAAGAGCCCTTGGGTCCATAGCTGCCTCTGGGTCCACACTGGTCTCTGATCTGGGTTGGCTGCTCTGGTCTGGTCCCTGGGCATCCACATACCAGTGGCCACTCACATAAATCCAATCCCATCTGTCCTTTTGGAACATCATGCTGCACTTACTGTTGATGTTCTGGTCCTGGCCTTTGGTCATAAAGTTTCTGTATTCTGTTCTGACCCCTCTGTTGATCTACTGGAAATTTCAGCCCCTTTCTACCTCCCATCAGAATTTACAGGGCCTCTGGTACTCTCCACACCATATACCAAATATGGAGAACCCAAAGTCTACTTGCAATCCATTTCACATAGATGTCCACCTCAGCTCATGGGCTCCGTGTTGGTGTGGCACTCAATTAATCATAAAGCATTTGGAAGGGGGCTTAAAGTGGTCCCAGTGTGAGGTTAGAAAAGTGAGGAACAAGCTGTGCTGCAATGAGATATCCCCAATATGCATCTTTTTTTTTTTTCTGTTAATGCTCTGATAAGGATTTTGAACCCAAGGGAATGGTCAAGACTCTGGTACTTGACTTCTAGTTCGTCTCCTTCCTTTAACAAGTCTTCCACCTGCAGACAGATTCATTCTCCTTGTCATCCCCAGGCAGAGGGGGGACTTCTCTCAGAGAGTGTTGCATTTTGTCTACATATGAATTACAGTAAAACTTGATATTTGAATCTCCAAGCTCTGTTTCTAATAGGTCAGGGGAACTTTTGGCAGTTGGTAATACTTTTTATTTCTCAACAAAGACCGGCCTTCAAGATTGTCATTTCTCTAGGAAACAGAACTTACAGCTGGAGGACTCCCGTGTCTCTTGGTTTCTTGGTTTCTTTCTTTCAACAAATATTGATGGAGTGCCCACTGTATCCATTCTATGCCTATTTCATTTGGAGTGAAAAATAGCGTCCTTTGTAGAATTTTGAAAGTGGCCTTACAAACATACTGGTGTGTTCCACCACAGAGAATAAGACCAGAATTGAAACTACTGTCAAAATTTTTGGTAGGATTTTTTACTTTTACTCATGAGAGCCAGATTCTGTGTTTAATTCAACCACAACTTGTAATCACTGTCTTGAACCTAAATTGGATTTGGATTTGATTGCTATGGCTGTTTAGCTAGTTGGTTAGAAGCCAAAGTCACAGTTGTCATCCAGCTTTAATTGGAGCCTATAAATGTTTTCATTATAATATAGACACATAGATTTTAAAAACATGTGTTTAGGTCCAAGAGATGAGAGAAGAGATGATCCTTGGAATGTTCTGGTCGGGAGGGGGGAACAATGCACATAAATATAGAATGTGATGACATGACAGTAAATTGGTGTGTCATCTTTCTAGAGGAGTGACAGCATTGCTGGTTATTTTTATGCTAAGCCAATAGCATCTGTCCCCTCTTCTTTGTATGGCCACTGCTGGAGTTCATACACTCAACCTATTACTTTCCCGATAATATCAGCCTCCTTACTTTCTTTCTCCCAGCCTCTTATTATTCCCTGCCAATCTATGTTCTGTTGTGCAACCAGAATCATCTGCGGAGGAGGAAGGACCTAATTTTAGAGTTTAGTTTGGCCCTTATAAGCAGTAATTTTAGAACTCCAACTACATATTTTGAAGCTAAGGGGGTTGCTATTAAGAGATAGGTGACTCAGCAATGGATCATTTCTTATTCCCTGCAAGTCCTCAGGGGTGCAATATAAAAGGGAGTGAGGAGAAGGCTCAGCAATGGACTTTACCTGCTCTGTGGAGCAATGGAAAGTACAAACTCCATCGTGAGTGATATGGCCTTGAAAACTAAGGAGCAGGTAGGAAAATACGTTTCTCCCATCTTCAGAGTTAGACAAGGCTGAAAAACTCAGCTTCTCACAGGGGCCAGGCAGATAAACTGGATGAGTGTTTTAGGCTGTTTTCAGGAGATGTTCAGGATGGGCAGACTGCAGAGAGCCTGACATCCAAAGGGACCACCATTGGAAATCTTTCATTTTTTTCCAAAGAAGCTGGAAATTTTGATTTTTATGTTAAATTTGATAACTTTTGCATGCCAAACTCCGTATGTTGGATTTGGTCCTGAGACTTCTGGTTTGTGACTTCTGGTTTAAACTATACCATATCTGAGAGTTAGTGTTTGTCCTTGGGAGGTAGTGTGTTGGCAGTTGTGTGTGGTTAAACAGTTACCTTCTTGACAACTAGAGGGTTAAAAGAAAACCTGTGAGTCACCTTGGAGATAAAGGGCCTAGAAATGCTCCCCCTATCTCAAAATGCTTCTTCGAAAGTTCCCTTCACCCCTGCCCATTCCTCACCTCCACACACACACACACATCAAGGACAGACTGTGCTGTGGGACATGGAGTGTCAAGGCTGTGGAATTTCCTGCTCGCCTAGCCCCTTGGAGCACTTTCCAGCTTATATAACTTACACTTGGAGAAATGTACCACTGGAGAACAGGCCATGACTCTTGGGATATGACCAACCTGGGTGGACATGGGGTGGTGTTTCTAGAAAGCTTGATATAAAGTCTCACAGTGAAGATTAGAAAAAGGAATTTTTTTGCAGAGAAAGGTCAACATGAGGATCAAGGAGCAGAGGGAGCAAATGAATCCTCATGGAGCTTCTCATTTGGGCTATGAGAAAACTCATATAAACACACAGACATGAGTGTCCCCCCTGGGATATAGTTTCAGTCTAATGGAGGAGACCAATATTTAAACAAACAGTCTCTCTAAAGAATGAGATAAGTGCAGAATGAGGTCCTAAGATTGCATCTGGTCAAAAGAGACTGACATAGACTGGGGTGGGGAGAGCAGGCATCAGAGAACGCCTCCCAAGAAGTGAAGGGAGATCCTAAGGATCAGTGGGCTAGCCCTGGAACAGAGGAAGAGGGGATGGGAAAGTATTCCAGATGGAGGGACCACCATGTGCTAAGCACACACTGGGAAGAAACATGGGGCATCCCAGGGACTGATAGGAAATTGGAATGGGTGATGAGTCAGGAACAAGGTGGAGCACAGTGGGAGATGAACTTGAGAAAAGGCAAGGCCACTCCGGGCAGGGATTTCCATCCCCTAAGCACAAGGGGAAGTACAAGAAAGTTTTTAGGTCAGGCATGCACATAGTCTAAACTGAAAAAATTGGAAAAGATCATCCTGGCTTCTGTGCAGAAAATAGATTAGAGCAGGGGAACCTTAGGAAGTTTCTTTAAGCTAATATTTTTTGAACTCTTACCATGGGCCATATACTGTTCTGAATTCTTTGCAGCATTAATATATTAAACCCTCACAAAGCTCTATGAGGTGGGTATTATTATTATTATCTCCCTTTTACAGATGAGAAAACTAAGGCACAGAGAGAGTTAACTTTCCCAAAGTCACACGGCAGGGAAAGTGTCTGGACTAGGGCAGTGTCAGTAGAGAAGGTGAGAAGGGAACTGACCTAAGAGACAGCTATTCAGGAGCTAAGATCTGTAGGATTTGATGGATTGGAAATGGAGTATGCCGGCCAGGTATCACCAACAGGGATTCTGGGCTCCTGGCTTAAGTTGGTGGATAGATGGTAGAAACATTGCTTAAAATTGAATAAATGAAGAGGCCCGGGCCACACAGCTAATCAGAGAAAAAGGCAGAATCCAATGTAGGTATTCTGGCTCTGGGGTCTCTGCTCTTAACCAGTATAACATCCTGCATCTTTTCCTAAATGTGGGAAGATGCAGGAGACACAGCACACCCCAAGGCAAGCAGCCTAATTAGAATCTTCATTAGAAAATTTTCTTTTCTCCTAAAGTCATCTTGGACCACTAGCTGCCAGTCATCTCTCCTTGTGTGATGATAAAAGGCCCTATGAATAAAATGGCTCCCACAGAGAGCTGACATGAATCCAAGTTTACTTGGCCATTGGATGTGTGACTTGGGCACTTAACTCTTTTCTGTGCCTTAGTTTCCTCCCCTATACATAATTTTACCTCCTTCAGGGGATTTTTGTAAGGATTAAATGGATCTATCTATCTGTCTTAGAACCAGATTTGGTATGTAGTAAACGCGATGTAAGTCCTTGATGTTATCTTTCCAGTTGTTATTGCTGTTGATAACATTAGCCTTTGTTTTTACTCTGTTTGTGCTGGGTTCTTTAATAACCCCCCTTCCCTCACTCCATTTTCCAAGAATTACGTTAGCTTTTGTTCTGTGCCCTGCCCCCACCCCTCCCAACTCTGGATATTGTATTAGGAGTCCTTGTTGTACGAGGATTGTTTGTAAACTTCTGCATGTTGGTTGTCAACAGTCTAAATGCCCTGAGGGAGGTCTAACATTGTGGCTGCAGTGCATATCTAAATTGTTGAGATATTTCAAGTGCCCTGAAGCTTTCTTCACTTAGAATCCAGGGGAACAGTCATTTCTCCCTGGTTTCAGAATTAATGCAAATATGGGGACCTCTAATCAGTTTTATCCAATAGGTCCTGGATAAATGCCTCCTCTTTTGCGTCTTGTGATTCTAAATTCATTTGTTTTGATTCAATAGCTGAAATCAAGGAGCATCCGTTATATGTAAACACAAGGCCCTGGATTAGGCAGATTAGAAGGTTAAAATGCAAGCTTAAAATTTGGTTGATGCAATAATCTTGTACACACATGGAGAACCTGAACAAATATTTCAGGATAAAAGAACAAGGATGTCAAAATGTGCAACATTTGTCTCTTCCTTTCGTTTTTCAAAGACATAATTGGAATGAAAATAATAATTAGCTGACATCTATTGGGCTCTGTCTGTGTGCCAGGCACTATGTTAAACTCTGCATATGTTATCTCATTTAACTCTTAAAAAAGGCTATGAGGTAGCCATCTTTATTATCCTCACTCAAAGATGAGAAAACTGAGGCTTAGAGATGTTAAGGGGCTTTTCCGAAGGTCACACAGTGTTGGAATAATTGAAGCGCTAATTTGAATATCATCTTTGAGGCCAGCAAAATTTCCTGGTCAGCATTTTTACTTCTTTATTACTATTCTTCTCTTTCAGCAATTCACTGATGGTGAATTTCTTTGGTAGCTTCTATTTTAGCTTTCTCAATGTGCTCTTGATTTTCACAATACTTTTTCTCTATGAAACTGTTTCTTCACCATTCAATTATTTAATGTATATTCATTATATATTTACTCTGAGTGAATTAGTTTTTAAGAATTCATCTATTTATTGGAAATGATCTAAGTAAGTAGGTAAAAGTCTTTTGAGTAGTTTAATTTAAATGAATTCTGGTAACTGCTAGAAAAAAGTGGCTGTTTAGAAATAGTGTTTGCAAACTTTCCTCTCCCAATTCAAGAAAAAGAACAAAACGTAAGTTTTTGAAAATAACAAAAAGAAAGAAAGAAAGAAAAAGAATACACCAGTAGCACTCACATCAAAGAGTGAATATAATCTTACATCCATAAGCTTGGAAAGTGTCATCTAGAAACAGAGAAATGGATCATGATAGGAATCAACACATGACATCAACACCTTGACCACACCAAGAACCATATGGAAGGAAGAAGATGATAGAAAAACATTATAGAAAAATCTCACTGTGATGCCCCAGAACCAGGGGAAGTGGATTAAGGAGAGGGAAGAGGCACTCCAGGTGACAAAATAAACCAAGCAACTAAACACTAAACAGCAAAAATAAAGGTCTCTTCAGAATGGAAGCTCTTCCCAACTAGCACGGCTAAACCGTGAATCAAGAGAGATTGAAAAATAAAACTGCTAGAATTTACTGAGATGTTTTCACCTGGATGGGAGAAGAGCAAGCAAATCTCCCAGAGCTAATTATCTCTAACAATATAAACTAAGGTTTATGAGAATGGAACGACAAAAAGAAAAAAAAAGAAATAATTCCAGAGCCGTGGAAAGAGCGGATATCCATGCGAAAAGACATACACAAGCTCCGATGAGTTAAACTGTCCATTAATGTGCAGGACAACACCTGAACATTTCACCCCTCTTTTCCGCCATCTGGCTGGTAGAAGAGTGGAAGTGGCTTTGGTTTGGAGAAGAGGCAGTGAATTGGGAGAGGATTTATTTAGAACTTTCTCTATCAGAGGCGAAGAATTGATGGCCATTTCTAAATTGGGGCAAAATTCCCAAGCCTAAAGGTACCATTGGTGGACATGGGATATTTCCATAAATAGAGGAAATATTAACATAGGAATTTTTACAAATTTATAATAAAAAATAAACTGTTGATCGCACCAGATAATCCTCCTCTTGCTCCTCTTCACCCCTAAACCCTGCCACCAAACAGGAAATGATAAAGCACGCTTCCACATTCTAGGAAGTCCCCACAGAGCTGCCTAGGTCAAAAATGAATAAGATGGATAGAAATCACAATGGCAGCCAGGCAAAAATTCTGTGAGCTTCCTTTCCCCTTGAACCCACAAAAGGGAATGTAGCGTGCAAAAGGCTGATGAAGAACCCATTCCAATTTGCCCGAAGAAATGTGACCAAAAATTTCTGCAACAAATTCTTCCCTCTCTCAGGGGGTTTAAGTGGAGAAGGAACCTATGAAGCGAGGGATAAACGACGTAATAAAACAAGATGCAATGAAAGGGGAGCTGAAAAACTAAAGAATTACATGGGGGATCAAAATAGAAGGAGATAATTAGAAAACAACAAATACGCTACAAACAGAAAGAAAAGTAGATGTGACTGAAAATGAATCAGTAAGATGGAGAAAAGTCTTGAGATAATGATATAAGATATGAGGAAAAAAACAAAGAGATGAAAAGTAGAGACTAGATAATAAATACACAGAACAGACAATGATGATTTAACATATGGAGAAAAA